CCCAGAACACATCATCAGTAATGTTCCCTTGTGTCATTGAGTGTTTCGGCCTTTCAACACTATACACCCTCCCCAAGGGCGGCCAGCTGCAGGATGATCAGCCCTCAGCTTGTGTGCCGTGCCCAACTGTCTCGAAATTGACAACATTGAGAATGGTAGACGCTTGAATGGTTACTACTACTGGTATGAATCCTCATACTCAGAGGATTGAATGTGTTTTATTGGGTAACAGGACTCATTAAGTAACTCTGAGGGTCTTATCAGTCAATGCAAACAGTCATTGAAGTCTCATGTCCTCTGAAACTGTGGAACTGAACGAGCTGTTCGTTCTGGAGATGGATGATGTTTATGGAGGTCGATTGTTATTCAGTATTTGGCAACATGTGCGTCCTCTGCAGGTCTGGGCTTTGCTCTCAGCTACACACCAGCTATAGCGATGGTTGGGAGGTACTTCAGCGAGAGGAAAGCTCTGGCCTACGGCATCGCCATGTCTGGTAGTGACGTCTTCATTCACCTGTCGCCCTCTTGTCTTGTCATTCACACCTTTTCGTTCCCATCTCTTCTCCTCCTCTTCTACATTTTCCTCTTGTTTTTAAGTCCCTCTACTCGTGCTTCATCCCTCATTTTCATCCCATCACATCCCGATTTCCCCCCGTCTTCAGGGAGCGGCATCGGGACCTTCGTCCTGGCTCCCGTCGTCCAGCTGCTGCTAGAGCGTTACTCCTGGAGAGGAGCGCTGCTCATCCTGGGAGGGTTAGTTTCAAACCTGTGTGTTTGTGGAGCTCTGATGAGGCCGCTAGAACCCAGAGGACGCCAACGGTAATTATTATTTCATTCACACATTACTTGATCAAGCATTTCATCATGTCCCAATGATAACTAGAGGGGCACTCGGAGAGCGTAGACCAAGGCCGTTTTCCACCAAGGCCGTTTTCCATAAGTGGAAAATATTATGTCTGTCTGCCCTGTGATTAAGAGAACGTAATGGCTTCTTGCTCGGTCCATGCTACACCCTTCCACCAAGTTTCCTGTAAATCAGGCCAATAGTTCTGTAATCCTTTTAGAAACAGAGTCAACACATCCTGAGGACAAGAAGCGTGAGTTTTATGATCCGCTGGACTTTTAATGAATTCTCTTCTGTTCTTTTCTATCTAAAGGATGTCGGAGAAAAACAAGTCAAACCTGGAGAACGACTGCACGACAACACAGTCCAAAGACAACGAGCTGAAGAGCTCGATGGAAACTCAAGAGCTCCTCATATCCAACGGAGCGCTCGCTAACTTCAAACTTGAAAACACCAAACTAGCTCAGGGCAACATAGCGCTGCTGCTGCTGCCGAGCTCAAGCCCGCCGGATCCCAACGTAACAGATCTGAAGATTGCCGAATGCATTTTGTTTAGCAACAAGCTAACGGAGACGATGCTAGTGGGGATCGGACGGTCGGATCCCGAACTAGCAGATGAAACCTTGGCGGAGGACTCGAAACTGGTGGAGAGCATGAACTTGAACAACATAGACGCTAAGTTAGAAAACTCAGGACTCAAAACGTCTCCTGCAGAGTCTTTAGCGAGCACCAAGACCTCCTCCAGAAGTCGCTGTTTGTCTCTGGAGTCCAGGGAGGAGTACGGTTTCCTCCTGATAACCGACTTCCTCATTCTGTCCGTGTCCTTCCTGTTCCTGGCTTACGGCTGCAGCGCTCCGGTGGTTTACCTGGTCCCGTACTCCCTCAGCGTGGGTCTGGAGCGCCAGCGGGCCGTCTTCCTCATGTCCATATTCGGAGTCAGCGGCATCGTGGGCAACATCACCTTCGGGTGGATCACGGACAGAAAGTGAGTAGCGGCTCCACAGCGTTGTTCTTTTTGTTCTTGTTACATTACATTATATTACAGTCATTTAGCAGACGCTTTTATCCAAAGCGACTTACAATAAGTGTATTCAACATCGGTTTTCGAGAGAACAACTAGTCACCAGTTAGTGCCATTGTTAAATGGCACCGACGCTGAAAGGTTTCCCTCCCCGCCCTTCTTTCAGGTGTCTGAAGAGGTATCGCATGCTAAGCTACGTGGTGGCGATCGGCATGGCGGGTTTCTGCTGCATGTTCCTCCACCTCCTCCACTCCTTCTCCCTCCTCGTCCCCTTCTCCCTTCTCTACGGGTACTTTGACGGGGCCTACGTGGTGCTCATCCCCGTGGTGACCTCTGACATTGTGGGCTCCTCCTGCCTGACCTCCGCTCTGGGTGTGGTCTACTTCCTGCACGCCATCCCCTACCTGATTAGCCCACCAATAGGAGGTACGTGTGGGTGAATGTATCGTGAGGTTTTCTAAGTGCGAGTCTGGTGCTCGGAGACAGTACCGCTTTAGTCCACAGGGGCTGCTGAAATCTAAACAATTTAAAGTTCCAGGTAGTAGCTTCAACTAAAGGGTTAAGGGTGGTTTAATTTTTACATCATACATTAATAACATCTGTGAATTGATAAGAATAAAGTCCAGATGTCGTGAATATAGTCGAGATAACTTGAATAAAGTCTA